TGTGAGCCGGTCTCTCTGCACCATGGCTGACCCCAAGGAGCCCGAGAAGGGGGGTGTGGAGCTGGGCACCCCTAATGCCGCTCCCCCCGCAGGGACCATGTCCACCCGGCGCCTCCGCAGCGAGGACTACAATGACTACAGCTCCACGGACGTCACGCCCGAGGGGAGCCCACCCGACGGCATGAACGGCTTCGCCCACCCCGAGTCCTACCAGCGCTTCGGGGAGACCAACGGCACAACGTGAGTGATGCTTCCCTCCCTCCCGGGCCGGCCCAGCACCTGGGGAGGGTGGAGGAGCTCCTGGTGGCTCCCTGCCGGCTTTGGTGGAGGATGGTGGAGCCGTGGTTTTATGGGGAGCTCTCCTGGGGGTGGTGAGGGCAGAGCTGTGGTCCTGCCTCTGTGGGGTGCTGGCACCAAGCAAACAGCTCTCTGGTGACGCTGGGCTTGCCGAGTGCGGGGAGAGCGTGGGGGTCCTGGGTACTGACCCCAAAGGGTACCGACCCTCGCACACCCTCAGGCGCCCCCGGCAGCCCAAGCGGGGAACGAGAAGAGCCGCTGGGTGGAGGGGAGATGATCGGCTCCCTCCCCCGGAGCTGGGTGACGTGCGTGCCCTGGGGTGATGGGTGCAGCCCCCGCCTGCCTCGCTCCCAGTGCCTGCGCTGGGAGCCTGGGAAAGCGCAACTTCCCGTCCCAGCATCCCTGCGAGTCCAGTCCTGCGCTTGGCAGCGAAACCGGGGAGGAGAGGGGGAAAAAAAAAAGCAAGAGAAAGAGGAGGGGAAAATGTGAGCGTTCCCCGGGAGGGAGGGGAATCAGGCGGTGGGCCGGGCTCGGAGGGAGGGGTCATCGCCACCGCACGGGGCTTCTTATCCCGCTGCTGTTGCCAGCCCGGTCCTGCCGCGGTACCTGCCCGCCGCTCGCATCTCTGCCCCTCGGAGCTACTACCCGGCGCGCCCCGGACCCATCCCGGACTGTTCCCGGAGGATGCCGTGCGCGGGGCTGGCGCTGGCGCTCTGCGCGCTGCAGCTCGTCCCGGCCGCGCTCGCCGGGCCGCAGCCGCAGCTGCTGGTGGAGCGGAGCGGGGCCCAGCGGCTGAGCAAGGTGAGGAGAGACCCCGCATCCCCCGCCACCCACCCCTCCGGGCACGGAGGGGGCTGCCGGAGAGGCTCGGGGCTCGGCCCGGGGAGGTGGAAGATTCCACCGTCCCGCTGGGATTGCAGGAGACCAGGAGCATTTTTTGCTTGGCAGGACCGGGGGCAAGGTCACTGGTGGGTGCGTGTCTGGGGCTGCGGGGGAGAGTGGGGTCTCACGGACCCCCTGGAACCCTGCAGCCCCCCGCGCTGGGGAGGACTACTGGAGGCTGGGATTCAGCTCGGAGCGGGAGGGATCCAGTGTTTATAAACACTTCTGAACCCAGAAGCCCAGCGGCCTCGTCCTTCGGGTGAGCGTCTGCCGGCCCTCAATCCTCCTCTCCATGAGCCTTTTCCAACCCGGGCTCTGCCTCCGCGTTCCCACGCAGCGCTGGGCCGGGCTCATCAACACGCGCTGATTAAGATACAGCTGATTACCGTGTGTGACTCTCACGCGGTGCGGAGGGAAGTATCGCAGTTTATTTTCCAGGAGAGCTGCTGTTGCCCCAGGGAAGGGGGAGCCGGTTGGGAAGGCTGGAGGGGGACTCGGCGGGCAGCAATCTGCAGCCACACACCGATGTTCGGCTCCCTGCAGCCTCTTTGCCTGCAGACCCCCGGGCTGGGAGCTCACAGCTCTTGCTGAGTGTAAGGTTGCAACCTGCCCCGTGTCCCGGCTTGTCTCGAGCCCCGTGTCCTGCCCTGGGCTGCTCCCGCCGGGTGAGCAGGATGCAGGATGAGCTGCTCACCAGCGTGGGCTGCGCTGTGGCCGCCGGGGCTGCCGTGTGGCACCAGGCAGTACAGCCTCCACCGGTTCTGCGGCTGCGAGCAGGCAGGGAGAGCCCCACACCATGGCATGGGGACACGGGCTGCTCCGGCCAAACCTGCTCGGGGAGGGAGCTGGGGCTGGGCTCTCGCCACTCGCCTGTGGCAGGCTCAGGGCTGGCTGTTGCAGACAAGTGCCGCCATCCCTCCACCTTTGATTGAGTGTCTTTACTGGTGGTGTCTGGGGAGGCTGGTGGGACTTGTAGAGAACAGGGGAGATCTCCCAGCACGGCTCCTAGCCTGGACAGGACACACCTGCGATGTCCCCACTTCGGGTGATATCTCCTTGCATGTGGATTTTCGTTATTTCATGGGATAATGCTGCTTCTCTGGCTCATTTGTTCTGAACCAGCTCAAGATCAGGCCCCTGGACTGTATCAGGCAGGGGATCACCATGGCTCGTCTGCCCCCCGGGTGTGATTCCTGCTCCTCTGTGGAAACAGGTGGCCAGAGCTGGTGGATGAGGGCTTACAACAACTAGGCTGATCCTGGATGAGGTGGGAGGCTGTGCCAACCCCACAGCCCCTCCAAGGGCATCCCCCATGCCACCCAGCATCCCCCTGCACAGTGCAGCTGCCACCACCCTGCCCTGGTCCCAACTTGCTCTCACCTGTCCTCACACACCTTGCTCAATGCCATTGGCATGAAGGATCCTTCTTGCCCTGTTCACATGTGAAGTGTTTGGAGGGAGAGCTGAGACAATTTGGAAATTGCAGCCTAGTAATCCTTTGGGTGTAAAGTGCATGCAGACAGAGGGTTTCTGAGGTGCCCTCAGGCTCGGAGAGCTGAGAATTTGAGAAATGCAGAGTGTTGTGTTTATTTGGCATTTGAAGGGGCTGAAGGTCATTTTCTGGCTGTTTGTGAGCAGATGTTTGGCAGGGGTCAGACGTCCAGCACTGGAGAAACCTGCAAACCCAGGGCGAGGCTTACCCTGGCTCTATCTCCTCCTGTCCCCTGGTGCTGCAGGTTGGTGGCTTTGCCTGGGAGAACTGTGGTGACAAGACGGACCCCGTGGTGGTGCAGAGCCTCTCCGTGGCACCCGACCCCATCAGCATCCCAGGGAGCCTGCGTGTCAGTGCGGCCGTCAAAAACGGAAAGACCATGGGTTCCCCTCTGAAGGTAAGTGCCAGACATGCCTCCATGTGATGAGGGAGGGCAGAGCTTCCCTAAACCACTGGCCACTGGGAAATGCGTGTCAGTGGGTACAGGAATGAGCAGCCCTTGGGGAGCGAGGCACAGAGCGGTGCAGGGCTGAGAACAGCAGGCTCTGTACGGCAGAACAGGGCATGGAGAGACCCACGGTGGGAGCTGACAGCCCAGTGGGAGCCTCCCAACCTTTTCCCAGGGGGAGAAACCACCTGAGCTGTCTCGTGTCCCGGGGACAGAGTGGCTCAGGGTGGGAAATGAAACCCAAGTGCTGTGGGTGCTCCTGGCAGTCACTGCAGTGCTCCTTTTTCAGAGGCCAGACGTGGCTGCTCTCTCCAAGGGCATGCCAGGGCACTGCTTTGGGAGCCTTGGGCTGTGCCGGCTGCCTTGCACCACTTTTTGGGAAGTTTTTGGAATGAGATGGAACACGTGTTTCTGCCCAGGGTGCATAGGCTGTCTTGAGCAATGCCATGTTTGGGGCTGGGGCTGTGGAGAGCGTTCTGGGGGAGCCTGGAGGCAGAGCTGAGGGATAGGAGCACCTTTTCAGGACAGAGACAGAGGAAAGGGGAAGGAGTGGGACTGTGGGTTCCTGGGTGATGATTGCTCAAGGGACCAGCCTGAGGATGGAGGAAGAGAAACCTGCAGGCTGAGAGGACCTGAAAGCAGGAAGGTGTGCAGTGACCCCACAGGCACCCCAAAGATTGCATGATCAGGAGCTGAGGGAGTTGGCTGGTGAGGTGCTGTGGGACCGGCTGGAGGAGCTCTGGGTGCCCGTGCTGGTTGTACTGGTGCTGAACATCTTCCCTCCAGGCAGTGCTGACGGTAGAGAAGGCGCTGGGTGAGCTCTGGATCCAGCTGCCCTGCATTGACCAGCTGGGCAGCTGCACCTACAACGATGTCTGCAGTATTCTTGATGACCTCATCCCACCTGGCACAACCTGCCCAGAGCCCCTGCTCACCTACGGCATCCCCTGCCACTGCCCCTTCAAAGCGGTACGGCTGAACCCCCCGGGGTGGTGCTGGCAGTGCTGACGGGCACCACTGTGCCCCTCAGGGCAGGGCTGGGGTTTTGGCTGATCTCTTGACCTGCCCTCTCTCCATAGGGCTCCTACTCCCTGCCAGCCAGTGACTTTGACGTGCCCGACGTGGAACTGCCTTCCTGGATGACCAACGGCAACTACCGTGTCCGTGCGGTCGTCAGCAACGGTGGGGAGGAGCTCGCCTGTGTCAAATTGGCCTTCTCCCTGCAGTCCCACTGAGGGGTTGGACACTGTCCCTCCTCTCCCCCCCCATGGTTCCCTGTCCCATCCCATGCAGTTGCACCCTGACCTGTCCCAACTCATCCCTGCGAGGTCCATCCCTCCTGCTGTCAGGAGGAAGCAGCCTCTGTGCCCCTGCTTGGTGCCACCTTCCCTGCTACAACCAGAAAGGCCCCTCTGGTTCTCCTGCTGTCCCCAAACCCATCACCAGTGTTTCACCTGCCTGGACAGGGTGGCCTTGGAACCTAACCCCAGTATGACCTGGGGGTAGATAGTTTTTACCCAGTTTCTCTTTCTTTTTTTGGTAATCTTATCAGGGCAATTGTAGACAAAAACATTCCAGGGAAAAGCAGTATTTCTCAGAGCAGTCCATGGGGAGGAAGGAGTGTTTGGGAGTGCTGTGGCAGGCTGGAGGGATGCAGGACTACCTGTGGAGGGGGTCCCTGCTTGCCCCCATCACCTCTGGCCAGAGCACAGGGCTTTGTTGCAGAGGTGTCCCCAAAGTGGCTGCAGAAGACCTGTCCCCACACAGCACCTCCGGGTCTGCCTTTGGTGCATCCTTGTCCTGCACGGGAGACCAGCTTGGTGGCAAGAAGCACCTGGGAAGGCACCTCCCCATGCCCCTCGTGCAGAAAACATCAGGAACACAAGAGGACTGAAACCACCGGAGCCCCACATGGACATTCCCACTCACGAGGGACCAAGCGGCTGGTGATGCTCCTGGCAGCAGGAGAGGTGGCTGGCTGATGGCAGCACTCGCTCCACAGGGGGACACACACAGCTGTGATGGGCTGCTGGGGCACAGCCTGGCCCAGGACCAGCCCCACTTATCTCACTTTTCCACTGGGACTGAGCCGAGGCAGGAGGACACTGCAGTGGGACCATCCTTCCCATGTACTGACAGCGGCACCGCAACACGGAGCAGCATCCTGAACGTGGGATAACCGGGAGATGACCATGAAGACCAGCAGCCCAGATCTTATTTGGGGACCTCCTGGCTGTGGCTGGGGACTGTGGTGTGGATGGGTAGCATCCTTCCTGCTGCAGCTTTGGGCAGGGCGTGAGTCTGACATCACCCCCCTGTGAGAGGTGCCCAGAGGGCAGAGGTGCAGGTGACCCACCAGCCACCCATGTCCCTCACTGTCCCTGCCTGCTTGTGTTATTTACCCCCTCCATAGGGCTGGTCTCCTACAAGCACTTTATATGCCTTAACTACTGTGGGAAGTCCTGCACCACACAGATGTGCTCCCACTGCCTTTCTGTGCCCTCCACTTGCTTCATTTCATCCCATGGCTTTGCCTGGAGAAGAACTAACCCTCTGTCCCTGCTCCCCGCCAGCGCCTGTGCCATGGCAGCAGCCTCCTTTTGGGCAGGTACTGCACATTCTTAATAAATCTTTTTACCAGGAAGCAGAGCTGGTACCTCTTGGTGCTGAGGGTGAGGTGGGGTGACATTTGTTTCCCTTGGAATAGCGGGGATGGGGATGTGAGCTGGGAGAGGCGAAGGTGGTGGGGCTGGCATAGGGGCAGTGGTGGAGGATGTTGCAGCAAGAGGAGCTGAGTGTGAGCAGCCCCAAGGCCGGTTCCTGTGTGAGGGGCAGGGTGGCAATCTGCAGGCACTGCTTTTGGACATGGGGACATAGGGACAGCCCTGGGGGCCATAGCCCATGCTTGGGGGCTCAGGGAGTGTCACTCATCCAAGCAACCGTCTATAATCCTGGCACCTGTATCACTGTGCATGCCTTGCCCAAGGAACAGCCCTGCTGCAGGGGCTCACAGAATCAATTAGGTTGGAAAAGACCTCTGAGATGATTGAGTCCAACCTTTGACCTAACACTGCCATGCCAGTGAGACAGACCATGGCACTAAGTCTTAAACACCTCCAGGGATGGTGTCTCCACCAACCTTCCTTGGCAGCCCTTTCGAGTGTCTGATCCCCCTGCTTATGGAGAAAGTCTTCCTAATGTCCAACTTAAACCTCCCCTGGCGTAGCTTAAGACCGCGTCCTCTTATCCTGCCGCTGGTTGCCTGGGAGAAGAGCCCGACCCCCACCTGGCTACACCCTCCTGTCAGGTGTGTGCAGATAGCGATAAGGTCACCCCTGAGCCTTCTCCAGGCCAGACAACCTCCGCTCCCGCAGCCGCTCTTCACAGGACTTGCGCTGCGGGCCCTTCCCCGGCTCCGCTGCCCGAGGGGGGTTCGGGGCCCGGCGCCGCCGCCCTTGTCCCGCCCGTGCAGCGCCACCCGCGCCCGCCCGCCAGGGGGCGCCACCGCCCATGTCCGTCCCGCCCCGCCTCGCTTGGCCCCGCCCCTACAACCAGTGGTCCCGCCCCTTCAACGCCTCCACCAGTCCCGCCCCGCCCTCCGTTCTTGGCCCCGCCTCACGCCGCTTGGCCCCACCCCTCACCCGCCTGGCCCCGCCCCCCTCCCCGCGCGCAGGCGCCGCGCTCAGCTGAGCCGCGTGTCACGTGACGGCGGGGCCGAGCGAGCGGGCCCGGCGGGGCCGGGCGGTGCGGGACGGCCGAGAGGTGCGGGACCGGGACCGGGACCGGGACCGGGACCGGGACCGGGATTGGGGCAGGGGCAGAGACAGGGACTGGGGGGCTGCGGGAGCGGGCTGTCAGCCGGCTGTCAGCCTGCGCGGTGCCCGGGAGCGCGGAGGGTGCGGTAGCCGGCGAGGGTGCGCGGGGTCCTGGCGGTGCTGCCGTCCCGCGTGGGTGCTCGGGGGAGCTCGGGTTAGCCATGACACGACTCGGGGCTCCAGGGCATCGCTGGCAATCCTTGTGCGCGGGCAGATGCGCAGAGCGTGGGGGTGCTGGCAGCTCCCGTGGCTGCTCAGGGTTCCTTGGGGGTGCTGGAGGCTGGCATGGGTGTCCGGGGGTCGCTGGGGTTGCTGGCAGCCCCCATGGGTGTTCGGGGTCCCTAGGGGTGCTGGAGGCTGGCATGGGCTCTGGGGTCGCAGAAGCGAGCTGGCAGCACACGTGGGTGCTCAGGGGAATTCGGGGGTGCTGGTGGCCTGTGTGTGTGGCCATGTGTGTGTGGCTATTTGGAACCTGAGTGGGTGCAGGGGGGTGATGGGAGCTTGCAGGGGTGTCTCAGGAGCTCCCTGGGGGTCCTGGCAGTCTGCAGAGGTGCTTCAGGGGGATCAGACCCCACACAGGTGTGTAGGTCTGCCTTGACCCCACATGGGTACCCAGGCGGGTGCAGTGATGCCCTGCAGGGTGCTGGCACACGCTGGGGTTCCCCTCGGAGTGTGTGGGGGTTCTAAGTAGGGGGACACAGCCCCCTGCATTGTGCACCAGGGTGTGGGGTGCTGTGTGGCAGTGGAGGAGGGCACAGGGATCCCCACAGTCTGTGGGGTGCAGGGAGTGGAGCAGCACAGTCTGGCTGGGGGGGGAGCTGCGGGCACTGGGGGGGCGTTTGTGCCCAGCAGCCTCCATGTGGGGAGACGCTGGGCTGGGGGGGACCACGCCATGCTGTGAAACCTTGGAAAGTTGAGTCTAGGAGTGTCTTTGGAGCTGTGGGAGCATTGGGTGGCACAGGGACAAGAGGACTGATGCTGCGACTGGGAGGTGTGGTGCTGGCGTGGGCATGGTGGCTTCCCTGCAGGCAGGGGAGGGGGATCTGGCAGCGCCAGCTCTCCCCCGTGTCACACTTGGGTGGACTACAAGCGGTGCTTTGGAAATAAAGGGTTTAACAGGCATGATGGGAAGCGGCAGTGAGTTCTGCTGTGAAGCTCACTTTTCCAGAAGATTTCCTGGTGTACACGCAGCCGTGGCTGAGCTGGGGAGAGCCTGTCAGGGTCAGCAGCAAGTCACATCTTGTTTTTGCCTTCTGGCGTGGGGCTGTCACTGTAAGGGACAAATTGCTGTCACTATCCCCTCAGCTTTTGTAGGTGCTTCACTTATGACAGTGAAATTGCTCCTGTGTGTAGATGGCAAAAAATAATTCACATGAATGCAGCAGAGGAGTTGGGTTCAAAGTGGAAACCGAATGTGGCTGTTCCTGTCTTTGCTGTTTGCAATGACGGGGAAATGGTGTAGTGGGGTTTTGCCTTGGTTTGAAGTATTCATCGTGTGGATGAGACAAGTTTTGCAGCTTTTTTCCTGCTGGTTGCGGGGGAGCCGAGTGCTCTCTCCCTGCTGCTACGCAACCTCTAATCCAGACACAAAGCAGGCAAGTCACGATGAACGCATTTCTCTGGCTCTTCAAAGCAAAAAGCAGACGGGCCTGCTTGGGGGAAAAAAAAATCCCCAGGGAAGCGATCAGGCAGAGTGATGTCACCGTGTTGTGTTGTGTTTATCTGGAAGACATCGCTGTTGGGTACTTCAGATGCTGTGCAGGCTGTCTTTGGGGGGCTGCCCATGCCTGACCCAGCCCTGCACCCCCTCTGCCTGCTGTCCTTGCCCACTGCCAGCCCTTGCTGCTTGGCAAAGCCTCCCAGGTCTCTCCCCTGGCCCTTGGGCCTGGCACTGATGACAAACAGCTTGTAACGCCTTCCTTGTGTAAACTCCTGCTGCCGCTCTTCCTGGTCCCTGCCTGCAGCAGAGCCGGTTCAGGACATGATTACCTGTCCCAGCTTCTAGGGAGGAGGCTGGGCAGGAGTGATGCATGTAGTGCCTGTGGCTGTGGAGTGCCTTCCTGCCTGCAGCTGGCCTCACCGTTGCTCCAGAGGCTGGTATTCCATGGGACACACCGCTGCTTCCTGCTGCCGGTGTTGCCTGGTGCTGCAGGAAATACAGCAGCTTTGGTGTGGCCTGGATAACTGCTCCAGAGCAACTGGGATCTGGAGCATCCAGAGCTGAGGAAAAACCCTTGTTCCGTGCTTCCCATCTGATCTCCAGGCTGGACCCTCCCAGCAGATGCAGCTCTTGGCTTATTTCATGTGCACCAGCCAGGTTTGCAGAGCGATGCTCTGGGGGATGCCTGGGGCTCTGGGGATGGAGAAGCACCCGAGTAGCCTGGGCTGAGCCTTCCCTGCACAGCCAGATGTGTGGGTCTGTGCCGGGGCCGCATCCGGCAGGCGCTCGCGTGACTTGGCGGGTGCACGAGGAGCTCTGGCAGGAAATGAGCCAGTTTTTTGCAGAAATGACATTTCTCTGCTGCTTCCTCTTGGTCCCAGTTTCCCATCAGCGCTGGGGAGAAAGGATAGGGAGCACCAGGACTGCTGGGGCAGGGGTGATGCCTGGAGCATGACAGCCCAGAGGAGCTGTGGGACAGAGACTGGCTCACCAGGCTGTGATGCAAGAGCCTGATAGATAATTCCTCTGCCTCTGGTGCTCCTTCCCAGTGGGTGTTTGGAGTGCTGGGTGTGGCACATGTGGGAACTGAATCAGCTGACTGTTTTCCAGACGAAGGCAGGGATGTGTGTCCTTGGTGAGGGCTTCTGCCCATGCTCCTGGCTTGCAGGACCCTGCTGGAGTTTCTGCTGGAGCAGGAGCTCCGGGCTGTGCAGGTGCCTCATCCTGGGAAGCCCCTTAGTCTTATAGGCACCTCCTTGGCTGTGAAACCTTTAAGGTGGATGTTGTGCTGTCTCATAGTCTGTGCTCCTGCCTGATGGAGTCTAATCAGTTTTCTTTTGATTCTTTTTAATAAAAAGTCTTGATTAAAAAAAAAAAGGAGGAAAAAAAGGGAAGTTAGGAAACTTTCCCTTCCCTGGCAAGAGCAAGCTGTTCCCTTGCAGCACACTGTGTGTGGGTTAAAAGCAGTTGCGCTTTTCTGGCCTTGTCTTCTTGACAGCCCCAGTCTCAAGTGCCAGGGCTGGGGACCCTGTGCCAGCATGTCCCATGGCTGTGGTGCCACACTTGCCACTCTTAGAGCAGGGGTATGTTTTGCCTGACATGAAGTGGGGCACATCCAGGCCCTGCCTGCGGGATCTTGACCCCGTCCTGTCTGGGTGTGCCCAAGACGTGGGCACGAGCCTGCGGGAAGAGCCAGTGGGAACGTGCCATGCACGTTTGACCTTAGGACATGCCAACTCCGTGATTGCTTGGGCGGGAGCCTGTGGCTGTATAAAAGCCCCGGAGGAGACCTTGCTCTGGCAGTGTGAGCCGGTCTCTCTGCACCATGGCTGACCCCAAGGAGCCCGAGA